GTGGTTTAGATATTTTATTGATAACAAACTTAATGTATGATATAGTATGAATTTGGAAGTATATTCCTTTATCATTCTACATATATTTATTTAATTATTAATTTATTCAGTGTAAGGAACATAATCGTAAACTTCGTACACGGAAGTTGCTATTTCTCTTGCGGTTGGATGGAATTTATTTTACAGTAAAACTGTAAACTGATTCTGAAAAAATAATTTATCTTAATCATTTATGGTGATTCTATGAACTACATCTGAGTTAAAACAGGATGAATCCTTGTTAATTATATCATTTAATATATAAGTAATGAAAAGTTATTTTAAATTTATCTAAATTTTCCATATAAAAAATTGCAAATTGTTCATTTATTATGCAGCAGACTAATCACATTTGTGGAATTTTCTATCTGGTACTTGTTATCGATCAGGTAATTTACAGAATAGAATGGATTTTTGAATTTTTGTGACGTCACAAAGCAAATATGTCAGATGTAATTGTGAGGTGCCACAATGTCTCCAACTTAAAAAAATCAATAACGTTGTCTGGAATTTGAAATGCAGGTTTAAATAAAATGTTAAATTCTTTTTAAAGATTTAAATAAATATTTTGAGAGAATTTTCAAGTTCTGATTAGTACCAAATACATTTTGAAACTTATTTTTGTGTAAGTGTTACTTTGTGAACATCAAATTTTACTGTGGTTGGATGGAATTTATGTTAGATTTTTCTACAAATGATCAATGTTGTTGAATGCATTAATTAATTTTTCCAGATAAACTCAGAATTTCATTTGATTTTCCTCAATATTATGTCTTTCATTTATCATTGAATTAACAGTTATTAAACATAATACAAATTTATAATTATATAGATTAACTATTGATATATTTTATGAAAATGTTACTTATTAGTGAAAGCTTATAGTTATATATCCCTGTTAAAATAAAACAAACATGCTCTTTTATATTCAAAGTTGGGTTTGAAACTCAATTTGATAACCTAGAAACCCTCAAAGTATACCTCTGTTAGATGGGACTCGTGGTTTTTGGAAAATTGTCGTTATTCATCATTCATGTGAATAATAGAATAGCAATTGCATAGAGGGATGCTGAATTACCGAGTGTTTAGGTTAAAAGGCAGTGACTGGCATAACCTGTCACCCATTGGTGCTGATTATTTTTGGAGGTAGGAGGGAAATAATAAAACAAGCTGATATGCAATACTGTACATAGAGATGAAACCTGAATAGACAGAAAAAAACATGATATGTGACATGACTAACATCATGGAAGTGGAAGTGCATAGTCAATCTTACTGGAGGGTATGTCAGATAATTGAGATGCCAGATTAGTAAGAGCGTGCTGTATTAACAACTAGCAGATTTATTTGCCATAAATATTAAAATATAATATCTTAATTGGTTGTATACTTGATATTGTGTACTGTATTGTATACTGTACCTGATATATTGTATATACATGATATATAAGTCACAGAATAGATCAAAATATTATTTCTTCTACTTAATTTTAATTGGTAATTAAATACAAGCAAACAAACCAAATTTCTCTTCTCTAATTTTCAAATTCACTATTTCCTGTTTGTATTGGAGAGTCTAACAGCATTAGCATCAGTTTCAAAGTACTTTCATGCCTGATTTAAATTTAAAAGTCTATATTATTCTAGTTGATATATATTCAGTTTTATCTGTAGATGTATTTTTGATGACTAGCCAGTTAGCTTGAATATGCTGTTAAAAATGACAATAAAGCAAGAAATGGTGGAGTAGTGTAAAAAGTTAACCCATAAAAAGTATACCTTTTAAACTCTAAAGTTTAAATGTTTATAAGTAAATCCTCTCTTAATATATTTATTAAATAGCTTATAGTAATTTAAACCTGATATCTATGTTATAAAATAATTTTTCTTTTGTATTTATATTCTTACCTTCAAGATAATGTTGCTGTAGTTTATCTAACATTAACAAAGTTTCTCTTGCATATTTTTTTATAGAGTTTTTTTCTAAGAAATGCTATCTATATGTCTCTTTGTAATAGCAAACATATGTCTTATTTGTCTTCTCTGATGACCTGAAAGCATTTACTTAATATAAACACACATAAAAACCTTTACTTGACCAGTAAAAATATATTTAATGAAAACAACAAACGTTTTCGACTGCCTTCCTCAGTCTTCCTCAGGTTTTAAATTCTGATATTCGAAAATCGTTGTGCTTAAATATTTAAACATTTTGGAACATATACATCTTTGCNGTTCCAAAATGTTTAAATATTTAAGCACAACGATTTTCGAATATCAGAATTTAAAACCTGAGGAAGACTGAGGAAGGCAGTCGAAAACGTTTGTTGTTTTCATTAAATATATTTTTACTGGTCAAGTAAAGGTTTTTATGTGTGTTTATATTAAGTAAATTGGACCAGTACCAGGTGAGAAGTAACTTTTGACCTGAAAGCAACTTACGTTAAAAGCACCATGTTCAGAAGAGAATTTGATCAGAATATTATCGATTTTGTCGAAGTCGTAGCATAAAAATAGACAAGGATAACGTAAAAACATACCATAAATCATCCAATATGCTGTCTAGATCAGAAAAAGTTTTCACATTTAGTTAGAATGTCTTACAGGAGGCCATTAATCTGTTAAACTTGGTGGTGCATTTAGTCAAATGTTGTTCATATTTTGAGTAGCTTAAGATTTGTAAGAGTTTGTTTATTTCTTGGACAGTCAAGTCATTTATTAGATTTGTCAAAAGAGCTAGTTTAGATAATACAAGGAATGATAAATCACTTAGGTAATTCAAAGAGAATATTCTCTTTCAAAATTGCTAATACACAAACAGAAGGTATATAGAAACAATAATTAAAAATGGTACTCTTGACATGACACATTTCAAAAAGGCATGTTAGAAAAGTTACGCGAAGAATCATGGAATGGTCCACCACTCGGGCCAGAGGTCACTGTATTAACAAGTCACTCTGTTAATGACTGGAAAACACACTAAACAATTGAGGAAGAGCAAGACAGTTTTTAACATTTCTGAACTAAGATTTATTTCATAACCGTCTCCTACAGTTAAGTGCCTTCTTGGTACAAAAACTAATAAACATAAATTGATTTGCACTTGACAGTCACAAGTTGATTTTATTATTCAAGTAATCATATCTTTTGTCTCAAATTTACCTACAGATTTTAGAATATTGAAATTTTCCAATTATTTTGGGCTTTTTGTCAGGTTTACTTTAATGATAACTGATAGTGCAATTTTTTCTTTCTTGTCTTAACTTTCTTATCAATCAGGTGTCCTTGTCATTGCTTTTAGACTTTAGCCCTTTATACTGTCACTGCATTTTCTTTTTATAGATTAATATTTGTATTTAGTAAAGTTTATTTAAACATTACGGTTATAAAAAGTTTAATAACACTTAAGTTATATTATTTTATAAAAATATGTATTTAGTAAATAATTAAAAACTAAAAACATAATAAAACCAGAATAAATACTTCTGTTTCATTCTGAATTTTTATTATTGATTGTTACATTGATAAAAACAACTCGTTAATGCTTAAAACGGCAAACAACATGAGAAAAATTGCTTTATTGGAGGCAAAGTAGAAAAACAAACCTTAGTTTGGAAGTACTTTTACATTCTTAAATTTATCTTCAAGTAATAAAATACAATTTAAGTTACATTTCTTTGGAACTAATCAACTTTATCTTTAATAAATTAGAAAGAAAAAACTGTTTTGTTTTTCTCTTCAATTGAACAAAATATTCTTGAGCATTTTCAATTTAAAAATAGATTATATGTTTTACTACAGTTGAAATTTTCTTCGTGTTATACAGTTAGAATTCAAGTACAGGTAGTTCTCAATTTTTGGACAGCTCGATAATTTGTATGGCATAAAAATGGCAGAAAGGCAATTGGGTGAAAGAATTTATACTCCTAAATTGCTTTATTATTCTATATTTGTACTTTTATATATTTTCAAACAACAAACAAAATTTCCAACTGTTGTGTTTGACACTTTCTTCCACTTCTGATTTTGGTAACTGAAAAATAATTATACTTATCTAAATAGCAATTTATGATTTTTACCTGCAATCATATGCATTTTTTTCTCCACACAAATGTATAAGGTGGAAATTTTCCACTGATTATTCATGCATGTAATTGCCTTTTCTTGAATTTGATGAATCTGAAAAATGATGCAATGTATGTTCTCTACAAGTGCTAAATTTCAGTGTCATATCTTGATTAGTTTTTGATGTATTGTTTTATTTACAAAACAATGCCCTTGTTCTGGTTCCTATGATGACCTCTTCAAACTTTGCAATAGTGTGGGCTAAGGTGAAATGAGTTTTGCTGGAAATAAATGATGAGAGGGCTGGGGGTGTTTCTCAGAAGGACCAGAAAATGAATTTATTGTAATTTTTGAGTGTGAAATAAAGCTACAAAAACATTTAAATTGTTTAAGTTTCCCCACACTATTGCTATCATATGGAAAGACGAGTTCAAGGTCACCGTGACTTGCAGACCACTATGTCATTACCTCATGCAGAATTGTGTAATTTCTCTGCAGTGTTATGTTTGATGATGATGGGTCATCATTTTTGATCAGCCTTGTGCATGCGATCATGTGACAATAAATAAAACTTGGGTGTGATTGCATGTAGGCAATGATTTTTTGCAGCAGTTTGAGGGCCTGTGATAAGCAAAAAATTTTTTTACTGAAATTTTTACACATACAAATAATAAAAAGTAGAGAGATAATTAGCATTTTAAAATCAGTTTTTGAAATTTTAAAGCATTCCTGTGAGAACTTTGTAGTGTGCTGGTGTGCATTAACACATAAACACACCACTTTGCATTGACTCTGCAGTAGTGATAACTACTGATGTAGTGAACTAGTATCAATATAAATAGTACTTTAATACTGTCATATTAGAAATTTAGAAAAATAATTAATTAATTGTAATTCAACGTTATTTATTTTAATAGGTTATGATGACTCTTGCTAGTCATTTACAAACAGTGGAAGCAGAAAAGCAAAAGTTAAGAGCTCAGGTTCGACGTCTCTGTCAAGAAAATGCATGGTTGAGAGATGAACTGGCGAACACGCAACAGAAATTACAAACATCCGAGCAGGCAGTGGCTCAGTTAGAAGAGGAAAAGAAGCAACTTGAATTTATGAATACTCTAAAGAAATATGATAGCAATGAAATGGTGAGTTTGTTTATTACATTCCTACATTGGAACAAAGGAAATTCATTTAAGTTTCTTTGTCAATTTCAGCAAAGTGGGGAAGAAAATTCTTCTGAAAATAAATCAGAAAGTGAAACACCTCTTGATCTTGGCTTTCCTGAAGATGAAGACGGTGTACAACATGACGGTATGCTAATTAAAGTTAAATACTACAGAATCAAAAACTCTGAATTGAGCCAAAGTAGATCATCTAATTTCTGATGAGGATGATCAAAAATACCAGAACATAAACACCTTTTAAAAAATACACAATAAAACTAAAACTATATAATTTAACTACAAATATAAATCTGACTTTTAAAAAGCATGGAAATTTTCTATAAACTAGATCAGGATACATTGAATTAATTTATATAAATATTTTTTCTTAAATGATGTTATTACTTAGTTGCCATCAATTTTTCCTGTAAAATACTGGCCACAATTACTGGAAGATTCTCTAGATATGGTGCAGTGTAGGTCCTTACTGTCCTAGAGTTTGAAGAAATTGACACATTTTTATTTGCTAAGAACTTGGCTTATAGTACTTCTCTTCATCTCTGCATTATTATTTTTTGTATTCTTACTCTTTCCTGTTCAATACAATTGATACAGTTGAATTATAAACATTATCTGCCATGCGACAATTACAGTAGTTATTAATTATTATACATTTAATATATTATTCATACATTTAAGTATTATTGTAATGTATTCACTTTACCAGTGATATGTGAATCGTTGTATATTTTGGAATTTTTATATTTCTGATTAATTTTTTAACTTACCTTGCAGCCTTGTCACCCATGCCTTCTGGTCAGATGACAGCTTCAGTAACTGCTGGTTATGAGATTCCTGCTCGTCTTCGTACCTTACACAATCTTGTCATTCAGTATGCTTCGCAAGGACGTTACGAAGTAGCTGTTCCCCTATGCAAACAGGCATTGGAAGATTTAGAAAAAACTAGCGGTCATGACCATCCTGACGTCGCAACTATGCTCAATATTTTGGCTCTCGTTTACAGGTATTCAGAATTGCTGAGTAACTGTTAACAAACTTTTTTGTTACTAACAAATTTATTTTATTTTTGTACATTTAGAGACCAGAACAAGTACAAAGAAGCTGCAAATTTGTTAAATGATGCTCTTGCAATTAGAGAAAAGACATTGGGTGAAAATCATCCTGCAGTATGCTATTTTATTACATAATCTTTGTTGATGATTCAAAGAACAAATTTATTCCAAATTTGATCGTTTACAGGTTGCTGCAACTTTAAATAATTTAGCAGTCTTATACGGAAAGAGAGGAAAGTACAAAGATGCCGAACCATTATGTAAACGAGCTTTGGAAATCAGGGAACGGGTACATAATTTCGAAAGTAAATTTTTAAAGTTTTTCAATAGATGTTTAATAATTTATTTTGTAAAATTTATATAGGTACTTGGTAAAGATCATCCTGATGTTGCCAAGCAGTTAAATAATTTAGCATTACTATGTCAGAATCAAGCAAAATATGAAGAAGTAGAACACTATTATCAGCGTGCATTAGAAATTTATGAAAAGAAATTGGGTCCTGACGATCCAAATGTTGCTAAAACTAAAAATAATCTGGTAATGCTTATATTCAGTTCTTAGATTATCTCAAATGTATATTTTAAAATGTCAAAACTGCATGAATGATCATTACTTTCTTTTAATATAGGCCTCAGCATATCTAAAGCAGGGTAAATACAAAGAAGCAGAAATTCTTTACAAACAGGTTTTAACAAGAGCACACGAAAGAGAATTTGGAAGTATTGATGGTAATTTTTTTTACCTTTGACCTTGTTCTTATAAATTTCTGTGTATCTCATCTACTTGGACCTTATTTATTAAAAGGACTTATTATACTGGTGTAATTTTGATTAGGAAATAGAGGAGATCTTAGTCAAAAGTGAAAACAAAATATCTTTATTTCACCTGTACACCTGTGTGTTTCAGATCTGAAGGCACCTCCTTAGCAAGTTTACAACATTCTATAACAATTTTTAAAAAGTTCCTTTATTGTCTAATATTAATACAACACCAATACAGACATAAAGTAGTCATAAAAAAGATCATAACATAATGTTTTTTATATACCATATATACCTTATTGTTGAGAATCATTTTTCTTACTTTAACTAATGTTTTCAACCTGATCAACAGGCCATCATTGGGTTATCAGTTTACTGGAACATTTACAATTGTTCTAGAATCTAACTGATATTCAATAAAAATTTGAATTTAAAACAGTTTGAACAATTGGTTAAAATTCAAAATATAGAATATGAATAATATAACTAATTCATTAAATACATAAAGTGAACGAATCAAAATAAATGTAGTAAATCAAAATATAGTATTTGTTCAGTTTATGTATTTAATTGATTAGTTATATTATTTATATTCTGTATTTTGATTTTTAACCAAATGTTCAAACTGTTTTAAATTCAAATTTTTATTGCACATTGGTTTGATTATAGAGCAATTGTAAATGTTCCAGTAAACTGATAACCTGACAATGGTCTGTTGATCAGGTTGAAAACATTAGTTAAAGTAATAAAAATGATTTCTCAGCAATAAGATGTATATCTTATTGCTGAGAAATCATGGTGTATAATATTCAATGAGTCTGAATGTATGCTATTGTTTTTTAAAACATGCTGATCTAGGTTAGTTATTTTTTTCTGTTTGAATTATATATACCTATTTCCTTTTTCTGTAATATTTTCCACTGTTACTTCCTCTTTAAATGTTCAAATAATTGTCTTTTAAATCCATTTCTTTCTTTTTTTCTTTATTTTTACTGTATTTAAATTAATTTCACATCCTTCATTCACTCTCTCACTGTTTGGCAACTGCTGAATTTGCATAATATCAGAGCAATCAAAGGAAATTATACAAATTATTTATTACAAATTGTTAGTTTGGTGAGTTGTGTATATGACAGTTTGGGATGTAAATTTAATCACTGTAAATAGAGCTTTTCTATGAAAATGGTGTGGATTAGTAATTAGCTTGCCAGATTTATTTATTTATATGTTATTATTATTATTATGTTGGGTTTAGTAGGTAATACTCGGTTTAAACCGGTGGCTGTGTACTATGCCGGACCAGAGTCAAGGCATAGCAACCAAAACAAAACTAAAATTAAATGTGTGTGTCAGTGTCTGTATTAAGGAATTTCCTAACAATATGGCATGTATTCAATATAGTGGCCTTCTGTAGTGTGATGTATGTATTTCTACTCAATTGTAATGTTCCCAGGCTTTTGTGTAGC